AGAACGCCCAAACTCCACTCGTAGTTCATTTTTCGGTTTCGGCACAGCAATTTTGATCTGTCGGGAGAGCTCCACAGTGCGTGCTCCTTTGGTTGCAGCCACGAACAAATCCGATCCAAGTCAGCTCTTGCTGAAACACAATACGACGCTAACACAAGATTCAAATTCATTGTAGTAAAGTCTCTCTGGACCCTGCCTGGACCATGGTCATAGACCAAGCTTCTTGCGGTGCTGCTGCTGCTTCAGATTGAAACTGGCTAGCTTGCCATACTTGCCGTTGTTTGTACCTACCGGTAGCTAGCTAGATGTATGCTTGACGGCCATCTTTCCCATTGCGGGAGACAGGCGTAGGCGCAGACAACCCACCGTAGGGATAGAGCTCAACGAAAGTTTAGCCTGAACCTTAGTGTCCAAGCTTTCCTTAAGTAAGAAGTCTGACTGAGTAGCCCTGAGTCACATTCTTCGTCCGGAGCTTCTGACACTGGGCAGCTGCTTTTTGTACACGGTACTGCCCACCTGCCCACTCAAACTGCCCAATTCCAAGATCAAGAGGTGCGACGTCTGACGTTAAGTCAGGGAGTCTCGTAAGTGGAAACCATGCAAAACTGACTTTATGATGATTTCTTCATGTTTCGTAAATTTTATTATTACTGAAAGAAAGCATGAAATTCAGTTTAATAAAAAATCATTAGATCCTACTACGTGTGGCTTGCTGGCTACTAGTACTGTGGGTCCAGCTAGCTACATGGTAAATCTAGAGCAGGAGCCTGCTAGCAGGCCCGTAGGAAGGAAGCCCCAACTTCTTATTCCTCAGCTTCGGTTGGTGGGTGCGTTGATAATAACTCTGCCTGATACAAAAGGCTTCTTTACTCTAACTTGTTGCATAAGTGCGTACGTGTGGGACCATACGTTCGCAAAGATGATGATGTACGATGGACTAAACTCAATATCGTGGGTATCTGCATTGTGGATCTTTTCAAAGGCTAGTCTAGTACAAGTAAGTATGTTGCCCCAGGAAGGTCCTCAGTCCTCAATTGTTGGGATGTTGGAAAACATACAAGAGCTTGGCAAAAGCATTGTGGAGCCTGGGAAAATTGTGAGGCCACATTCCCTGCACCAACTCCAGCACCTACGCCTGGTCCATCTCTAGCTAGGCATCGCTCCTGGAGTGCAGCCAGGGGGTGAGACAGGAGATGGGCCAGGAGTGGGGCCAGGTCCATCATTCGACGGCGTGTAGTGAGCGCCCTGTTGACACTCCAAATGATTTGCAAGTCGAAATTCTATTTTTACATTTTTACTCTAGCTTTATTCATTTTTCTCCTGCCGCCACGTTCGTATGCTGACGCAGATGTTATTTAAAGCTGGCCACAGGGAAAGAATGTGAGAACCCAGCTGAAAATCGTGCTGATGGCGATTTTGTCCTGACAGCGCAGATTCTTGTGTGGCTTTTGTACCAGCCGGTCGATCGTCAGTGCTGATGCAGAGAACGTCTCCGGCACTGCCATTCGAAGATCGCGAAACCCCTGGGTCCTCCTTGTTGGTGTTGAAATAACCAGCCAAAGGCCCTCCGAAAAGAAGCCTTCAGCACCTCACTTCAGCAACCTCTTTGAGGGCTGCTGCTACCCCAACATCATAACAACAACAACAACAACACCAATCAACACGAACACCAGACTGTACCATGCCGTCTGCCCTAGAGCCGTCTGCCCTAGTAGAGGCGGCATGTCCTCAACAGCCGCACCTCATTGTCGATACCGACGATGAGATTGATATGACGACTGAGCTTCCTCCCGTAGAAGGTCTAGTAAGACCTGTGGCGATGAAAGTTCAAGCTCACGTAGCGAGACCCGTCGCGATGAAAGTCGCTCGACCGATTCCGCAAAGAGCCACTGAACAGTTCTACGATGAAGCTTATCGTCAAGGCATCCCTGCGTACGCAGTTAACGCGGCGATTATGGACTCTCATGACTGGCATCGAAAGTGGACCCAACAAGACGAGGTGGGCCACACGATGCCGCATGATCATGAGAGGTCTCTCGCCGCCGGAGCTCTTCCGCAACAATATGCCTATCAACCAGCAGCTACCGCAACACCTCCTGTCCCTGACATGGTTCTAGACCGACTAGCAGGTGCTCGCAATCCTTCTCCGGAGTGGGAAGCGTCTCCGCAGCAACAGTCCGAGCGCAAGCGCGGACGTTGGGAAGAAGAGGAACCACAACAACCAGTAGTGCACATGCCCATTGTACAAAGGCCCATCGCACGACCGGTTGCCACTGTTCCTCTTCCTCAAGACCCTTCCGCTCCTGTTCCTCCGTTACTCCAAATCCTTTGGGATAACGAGAACTCTGATCGATCGAGCCCTTCTGACCTGAAGAACGAGTCCCCCGACAGCAGTGATGAACACGAGGACGACGGCTATATCGTTGCCCCCGCTGCAAAGCGTCCTGTTCCCATTCGACCAGCTGCTCCGACGCTGGACGAAGACGACGACGACGTTTACGGCGGAGGCCACCTAAACCCACCACCCAACATGCTTGTCAGACCCGTGGCGCTCCGCGTCCCAAGACCAGTGATTGCTCAATTGCCCTCATCGGCCAACATGGAGATTCCCAAGTACATCAACGCGGATGAACACTCCTGTTCCAAGATGTCGACGATTACTAACAGCAGTGGTCTCAGTGGCGGAAAGTCGACCGAGTCTCTCGGATATGACTTTCGCACGGATGCCCCACAGGTCCAAGCGGTGATGGTGGATGACGAACAAGACGCAGACGGCGGCAAGATGAGTGGTTCACTCGAAGAGTCCCTTGTCAAGAGACGAGATGCCTTGCTTCAGGCACTGGCCATCTCCGGAGGCGATGCTCAAGCGGAATCTTTCACAGAGACCATTGACCCTCTTGCCGAAGTCTTTGAGGAGCAAGACGTCGATACTCGTCGGGTGACCAACAGTGCTAGTGACAAGACTGTACAAGGAACCTGGTTGACTCTCACCAAGCCTACCTTTTTTGGTAATCTTGGCGAGAACGATGCCGGAGACCCCATGTACACTTTGGGTCGTATGACCTTCGATATGTTCTCTCCCACCAACCTCGTCTGCAGTCTCCAAGGTAACTTTAACTCCATTGAGATTGTCGGCGACGAACAACGTGGATCCATGCTGGAAGCCGGATTGGTTCCCAAGGGTCTGCGTGAAGAGGTGGAGAACAGAGAAGTTGCTCTACGCACCTACAAGTAAGTTTCCGCGGCTGCTGCCTCTATTATTTGCCTTCTCGCTTATTTATTCTCAATTTCCTATTTGCCTTTTTCCTTCCCAACAGTGTCATCACTGCTTTCACCATCGAGCCTAGTCTTGCCGCGTTCCCAGAAGCCCCCAACAAGGACGTTCGCCGTCCTATTCGGGGAATCATGACGACCTACGGATACACTCTTCCCGACCCAGAAGTCCCCAACCGCCACTCCATCTGGATCACTGGCGGACGGATCGAGCCCAACGACGATCCCTCGGACATTGTGGAATGGAAGAGACTCTTCAGCCTCCACCCTCCTAAGCACGGCTTTGGTGAACAAGCCAAGCTGCTGGCCGTCAAGCTTCTTATGGGAGCCACTATCCCCAAGGAAATGCACGAAGATGGTAGCATGGAATACAGCTTCACCCGCCCTCTGGGCGGACATGGAGTTGCCTACGTGGATGTCCTCTATTTGGACGACACGTTGCGTGTAGTCCGCGGTCACCGCGGTACCTTCTTTATCTTTTCACGAATGCAAAACGAAGACGCCCTGTGAATATAAAACCCCTTCCTTTTTAGTGGCGGATCGATCGGAACCAGAGCAAGCAAAGGATGACTTGCTCCGAAACTACCGTGCCCGCCACACGCATCGCCTGTATATACCCACACACGCACTTTCTACGAAGACGAACACGGAGAATTGATTTTCTCTGCACACTTGCATACTTTTCCTTTTCCCGACCAACCGAGCAGAGACGAGGATGCCCTGCCTCGCTCCTGTACCTACCTGTATTTAGAAACCCAGCACGCGCCCCAAGACGGTCCTGCCTCAAGCCAGCCACAGCTTCATTATGTACATATCCATTCGACCCCACAATGGCTTTTGTGCACGGACCAGGCAAACAGTACAAATCACACCACGGATCATGTCAGCCTCATGTTTATATTTTATTTCGAGGAATCGGGGCCTCTGGCGACTTGTTTAATTTTGTTTCCAGCCACGAGCGCTCGTTTCGGTAGACATGAACTGTGGTGCTTTGATTTTTCACACAAGACGAAAGATGAGACAGATGATGACGAGAACAAGATCATAGTTAAATTATAGTGAATATTTGCACACAATTGGCTGGTGGCTACTCTAGCTAGCTAGTAAAGTATCTGGAACGCTGAGATTCGCAGCAACACCTGCATCTGGGAGGTAAACACAAACCACGGTAGCAACAAGGGGCGACCGCTGGGCATGGTAATTGTGCTACTGGCTAGCTATTGGACCAATTACTCTTCAAGTGGAAGTCTGCCACAAGAGAACCTTCGAGGAACGCACATCCATGTGCAGCGAAAATTTTCTAGCTAGAAGGAAACACTTGGAATGACAAAACCAAACCTAGTTTTTAGTTTTTTTATATTGAAGTCACCTCACCAATTTGCATCACTTGATCGGAGAATGAACCGGCTCCTAAAAGCAACAACTACTCTACTCATCAAAGCTGTTTAGTTGTTTTCCTGCTGAAAGATAGATGTGGCACAATTTCACATCCTGGACCTGCCCATTCTCTCATCTACTTTGTGTACATCTTTGCAAAGTCACCAATGGCATGGTCGAGAGTATCACAAGCGGCAACATCCATAGTTTGCTTGGCCTTCATGGCAGCCTGCATGACGGCATGGTGGGCTTTGAGCGCATCCACGTAGTCTGGGAATGATGGACACCAATGAGTTAAGATATCATTTTGAGATGTTTCTGTTGCCGGCATCAAAACATTAACTTACCACCATCGCTGGAAAAGACGTCTTTTTTGACACGCTGGCAGAGGCAGTATTCCGAGACAATGGTAATGATTTTTTTGCAGTGCTCTTCCTTCGTGGTTACCCAGCGAATCATCTGATTCATGGCGGTGAGATCCGAAGAGATGGTGGCGTGCAAATCTTTGCTCTGGACCATGGCCTTGCGGACGGTTTCGGCCGCCTGCTTGACCTCAGCAACAGTAGCCGGGTCGTCAAAGATTCCACAGGGAACTTGGCAGTGACCACCACGAAGACGGAGAACCAAGTGGAGTGTAGATTCCTTTTGAATGTTGTAGTCACTGAGGGTTCGGCCGTCCTCCAGCTGCTTTCCAGCAAAAATCAAACGCTGTTGGTCAGGAGGAATTCCCTCCTTGTCCTGAATCTTGGTCTTGACATTGTCAATGGTATCCGAAGGCTCCACGTCGAGCGTGATGGTCTTGCCAGTAAGGGTCTTGACGAAAATCTAAAAGAAGCACAGAGTTTTTGTGAGGAATTGACAAGACAAGAGAGGGGGAATGAATCTTCAATCTTAGAAACATCCACCAAGGAAACCCCCAAGCTAGGTCCCCACTGCCGAAGCTTTCATTGTCAACGCCCCACAATGTTGACTATTAGCAGCCAGACTTACCTGCATGGTTCAAGGAAGCGGTTCTGCAACAGCGGGTACTTCAGCACGGCGACGACTAAATTATGGCCATCGCCTCGATCTTTCTCTAATAAAGATTTGGATCTTGCGCGAGGTCAGAATGATGTTTTTGCTTCGAAAAGCTCGTTGTCCTCAAGATTAAGATTTTGAACTGAATACGCCTTGCTACATGTAGCTTGGCGTCATTGTTCTCAGAAATGAAGGTTGTTATTAGACGACAGTTGGGGCTGAAGACGATGCCACAGAATGCAACCTCATTACAGTAGTACCGCTTTTTTTGGGAATAATTTTAGCTTCGATTGTGGTCAAATTGACATCAGAGAAACTTCACTCATTATCGAAGGTCCAGCTAGTTTTTGGGACGGGCGGTGATGGGTTTGTCTTGCCTCTGCCAAAGACTTGCAGATCGCTCGAGGAAATGAAGCACACGTATACCATTACCTGAGATCTGCTTCGAGTGCGGTTCTCTGGCTTGTGATTGGGAACAATGCTCATGTCATGTCCCAACTCTTTCTATTTTCATTACGCTATGTTTCAATCATGTAAAAAACTAAGTTTCAACTCCGCAAGCCCACTTCACCTCTTCTGTTGCTTCATTGCTTCTGAATGCGCCACTCTTTTAGTAACTATCATGTCCAAATCTTGGTTTCAAAGGAAGATGGTGTGGTGAGGGCTGGCCGAAAAATGTATTCTAAAATTTGAAATGGTCCGCTGCCAAGAAAAGATGCCATAATGGAAGACTTCGATGCAGTGCCGGTCAGGGTTGCAATAGAACACGTCCTACCGGCCCCCCAAAGGGTTAGCGAACCAGGAACTCAACCAAAACCAAAGCCAGAGAAGCAGTGGTCACGAAGTGGCGGCATTCCCAAGCTCCGCTTTCAGCTTCCGTGCTGGTGGCGACGCCGGCTACTGGACTAGAAGCGAGCCCACAGTTAATTTCGCACTCTCCAAACCACCTTTTGTAGACATCACAATCGAGATAAGATTCGAGTGGGCCCGCACAAGATCCACAGTCACAACTTTCTACCGCCTTGCAAAAGATGTCTGCAGTAAGTGGGAAAACGGACAAGCAAAGGGTGAGCTTACTGCATATTCCAATTTGTTGTCTGCATTCGCCAAAAGGGAAGTGCATGGTGCCTGATGATGCAGCGAGCTCTGCTCACCTTGCACAACGCCACAATCAGTTACATCCTCAGGGATGCTATTGGATGCCTGCAATCGACAATCATCGCACGATCCTCTAGTTTCTTCATCCAGATCATTCAAGACGCATTCCTTGTAAGCATCAAAATGCTCGGGACACAAGGGGCCCTCTGGCGTAGTTGACTTTTCGGTGAAGCATTCAATCCCGCAGGTCCCGTTGCTGGTGTTGACGGTCGTGCATTGCCAAAAGTTTTCAAGCTCATCTTGGCAATTTTGACAACCACATGTATGAACTGCTTGGCACAGATTAGCCTCCGTTTCTTCGCAGTTTTCATTACGATCGGGCAAGTCGTCGAATGTTGCAATTCGACAAGAGTCACAGGCTTTGCCGACGTCTGGGTCTAGACGGAAAACACAGTTGGCGTACAGCTCCTTCTCGGCATTGCACAACTGATTGCTGTTTGCGGCGACGGGGGCAACCAGGATTGCTGCGGAGGAAATTGCCAAGACGAAGATCCAACTCAAGCGGGCGCTGGCAGTCCTCCTTTCTCGTTGCTGCTTGAGCGTCATTGTTCTAAATTATTGAAATGGTTGCTGTGGTATGCGACGGAGAACTTTTGGTCAATTTTTTTTTGCCCTGCAGCAAACGGTGCATGATTCAATCAAATGCAATCAGAGAGATTCTTCCTCTCTTACTTTTGGCGCTCTCAAGCCTTCGCGGTGGACTACCGGTAGCTACGGTACCAGGTAGCTGTTGGACTCTTCCCTCCATTTTCTTTTGCGTCCAAATCGAAAACGATCCGTTGGATCTTGTACCAGGAAATTAATCACTCCCGCAGAGGCGAGGAACGGGTTCCTCATCATCACACTTTTCCTGTGACGTACCGTACAGTACGGTATGTCATAGAGCACCTACCTGTACTGGTACCATACAGTACATACACAAGCACTATTTCGTCTCCTGGAGACGATTTGCTTTAGGGGTAATGGTACCGATGGGGGCAGAGGTTTGAATTATACCCGGCGCGCATTACTTAGAAGGCCCTGTAGAAGTCTACGTATTCGACTAGTATTGTATTGACGGGATACAGTCAACGCATGTACATGCACATGAAAGTCGCCTTGCGTTCTTCACATTTTAAAAGTTGGCTCCTAATTTTTCGGGGTCGCCTGTGATTTGATTGGACGCTTGATCTTTTTTCAATGACTGACATTGAATGACGTACGAGGTGCAATGCGAATCTCAGAAAGGTAGTTGTAGTAATAAAAGTTTTTATATACAGATTAATTTACCCTATATCCCTCCCGTTCATACTTATAACAAGAACCCGTCTTCTGGCTGGAACATTTCATCGTATTGATCTTCTCCTAGGACAGAAAGCCCAATAGTATCCTTAAATCTTGCAAGCATGTCTCTCATTCGTTGTGGCATGGCAAAGTTCTTTGGATCCCAATCCAGCTTCTTCAATAGAACAAACCACTCATGGTTCGCACCCTTGATAACACCACGTAAGCCCAGTTTTGACAGTATCGCCATGAATGTACCAATAACCACACTGCAGTATATCCCTGTAATTTGTGTCCAGTTGTCGCAGATTGCTGATAATCGGGAACTGCTTACCCTTCATCTTGGTGGTACAACTTCTCCGTCATAAAACCATCTGGTACTGAAAGTGTAGTCTTGCTCCGTTACATAAAAAGTACGTGGCATAATAGTCTCCATTCATGTTCCACAAGGATAGATTTGACTTGACCGAGAAAAAAGCCCGAATCTTGCAGCCGTTGTCGAGTTGAATAACCATGGGGTGCAACCATCCCTCACATTCACCTTTTCACAAAAAGCCGAGATCCATTGGCTTCTCCATTCGGAACATTCGTGTTCTCTGTAAACATTACAGGACACCCCTTATATAACTTCAAGCAGATCAACACGTTTTCGTGGTCCGAACCGGTTTTAACGAGTCTTCTCCACATGTTGAAAAGAAGTGCTTTAAAACGAATTGCTCTTAACAGGAACCAGTGTCCCGCTTGATTGGCCATTTGAAATCGTCCATGAAAATGAGTACGCATCCATCAGCACGGAATAATCAGCAGGTTTGTTCTTCCGCAAAATTCTTCGAAGATAGCTGAGTTAATGGCATCTCGATCTCGATTCAGATAAGTAGCAACTTGATGTTCTCTGGTGGAACATGGGTTGGGCCAACCATGCAGGCGTCATTGATGGTCTCAATATCTTCTTCTGTTGGTCGCCCTTCACGGAATCTTAAACAGCGTTGCCCCCATTCAGGATCGTTTTTGAAGCGGTGCATTCCATTAACTCAATAAATGAATTAAGAGAGTCATGAAATTCAGGAATGGTGTGCTGAAGATTGTAAATTGGGGGGCGTCCCACTGTTTCAAGTTGAGAGTAGTCCCCGCGAACACCAAGTTAGTCCCCAAATGGTTGGTATTCGTCTTGATCAAGGTCTTGGTGTAGTGGAATATCTTCACTAATCAAGTTCCCCCGCGAATAAATTTCGTCGATATAAGCATCCGTGCGTCATTCCATTCTTCTACCAAGTCTTCGCCACACTTTCCCGAGTTTGTTCAATCCCACAGCTGAATGCGTTGTTTCCCATGTAGTATTGTAGCACAACCCCCGACATAGCAGGACAACAATGGTTCGGTCGTTAATATGGATGATCAATCAAACCCAGAATTCTTTGCCATAGCCATGACTAAGTCAATTACGGTAGTCTTCCCACTTCCTCCAGGCCATGTAGAAGAAGAATCAGTTGGGTGCACGACTTCCCTTCAAAATCAAAGGTTTTTACGAGAAAGTGGACTTTGCCTTCAACCCATATCCGGACTCCATCCTCTAAGTCACCTTTTCAGCTTCCTCAAAAAATGTCAACAAGAAGGCTGCATTGATACACTCGAAAGCCCTTCTCTGCTTGTCGTCCAGATTGGCAGCCGTTGCCCAGTCACTTATACTTCTCACGCTTCCATTCGCCTGCGACACTTCACACTGCGGATTGTACTTAAATACATTTGCCCTTTGGATGCACTCCCGTTTTGTTAAGTAGAACTTCATTGATCTTGTGATATCGAGGTGTAGGCGGTCCCACTCTGCTTCTCTTTGTAGTGCCAGTGTGTGAAAGTCAGCACTTATGTAACAAATTCGTCTTCATTAACGAATTTCAGGATGGGTAACTGCACGTTATATCCTGCGTTGTCGCTTCCATTGTGACGTATA